ACACGGGACCCTCGCCACCCAATCCAAGGACGGGGGCACCGACTGCCCGATGAAGCCCACTTAGTTCAACCAGTGCGGAGCGTGCCTGAGAGGCAGAGCAGCCAGAGTTTGGTGGGGGAGGGGGTCTGCCCTGGACCCTGGGCCAGGGCCTCTCTGGCGTGGGGGCTCCTGTATCAGCATCAGCAACAGCAGCACTGACTACACCCAAGATGCACCCCGGTTGAGGCCACCAGATGTTCCAACATGGCTATGCTACTAAGTCGAAGATGCAAACCCACATCTGTGCCCTAGGAAAAGACAAAGGGCTGGGGCAGCCGGGACAGCCTGGTCTCCAGCCTGGCTCTGCTACCGGCTCTCAGTGGCTGATGGCCGGGCACGTGGGCAGATCCAGCTGGATGCCCAGGTGACTGGTGGGAGGCGGTGTGTGTGGCGGGGAGGGGGAGTGCCTGCATTGATGTTGGCCTGGCTGAGCATCAGAGCCACATGCGCATAAGAGGAGCAGGGTCACGGACAGCACGTGAGTGGGGAACTCAGGCCCTGCACTGCCCTGGGGACGGAGGGAGGGGTTGGTAAGAGGAGGCTTAAAGGCCTTAGGGTTTCTTGCACACAAAACCCCCAGATCTGCTGAAGAGTGGGGAGAATGCGGATGGAAGGGCGCAGAGAAGGTCTCTGAGAGGCAGTGGGGCCGCAGTGAAGGGAGGGGGGAGCTGAGGCTCTGCAGCGGGGACTTCCATGCCAGGCTGCAGGCTGCAATTTTTTTTTCTTTTTTGGAGACGGAGTTTCGCTCTTGCTACCCAGGCTGGAGTGCAATGGCGCGATCTTGGCTCACCGCAACCTTTGCCTCCTGGGTTCAAGCAATTCTCCTGCCTCTGCCTCATGAGTAGCTGGGACTACAGGCACACACCACCATGCCCAGCTAATTTTTTGTGTTTTTAGTAGAGATGGGGTTTCACCATGTTGATCAGGATGGTCTCAATCTCTTGACCTCATGATCCACCCGCCTCGGCCTCCCAGAGTGCTGGGATGACAGGCGTGAGCCACCGCGCTTGGCCCAGGCTGAAATTTTTAATTGTTTGACACGCCACTGGGGAGGAGGCCTTGGAAGGTGAGGTGGGGAAGACGGGAGAAGACAGGGTCAAGCACGGCAGAGGGGGCGATGCCAGAGGGGCTGGACCCAGGCACGGGCGTGGTGGGGGCAGTGGTGGGCAGGAAGCCAAAAAGGGTGGAAATGGGGCCTCGCAGAGTGAGCCTCCCAGGCCGTCCTTGCTGAGGTCTGGCTGCCGTCTCTTTGGCAAGCAGAAGACAAGGCCGTTGTGCGTGCAGGGAGCGCAGTCCGGGAGAGTGTGGATGGTCTGGGCCGCTCTTTGAGGAGAACGGAAATGTGGCTTTGGACTGCCAGGCAAGGCATCAGGCCGGGCTCCGTCCTATCCCGCAGGCTCCTCCAGAGCCCTCGCCTACTCCTATAGGGTGGGGTGTGCCAGCGAGGGGAGGGGTGAGGGAGGGAGAGGCCACGGCCTGGGAGAAGCAGAGAGAGGGGAGGGCCAGGCAGGACGTCATCCCTGGGATGCAACATAGGCCCGTGCCCAGAGGAGGTGGCTGTAAATGTCAGATACGATCGCCACCCGGGAAAACGCTTACAGGACAGAAGGAACATCAGCAATCTTACCCACCTGCACAAAAGGCACAAACACCCCCCCACACCCCAGATAAGCAGGCAACGTTTACAACAGATAACTCAAATACAAGAACTAGGAATGACTAAAAAGGCCAAAAAAGGCAGGCACGGTGGCTCACGCCTGAAATCCCAGCATTCTGGGAAGCTGAGGCAGGTGGATCACGTGAGGTCAGGAGTTTGAGACCAGTGAAATTTCGTCTTTACTAAAAACACAAAAATTAGCCAGGCATGGTGGCTCATGTCTGTCATCCCAGCTACTTGGGAGACTGAGGCAGGAGGATCGCTTGAACCTGGGAGGCAGACATTGCAGTGAGCTGAGATCACACCACTTCACTCCACCCTGGGTGACAAGAGCAAGACTCTATTTCAAAAAAAAAAAAAAAAAAAAAAAGATTCAGCCTCACTAGGGATTGAAGAAAGGCAAATTAAAGCTAGGTCCTGTGGGGTGCGGCGGCTCACACCCGTAATCCCAGCACTTTGGGAGGCTGAGGTGGAAGGATCACTTGAAGCCAAGAGTTTCAGACCAACTGGGGCAACACAGCAGGACCCCTGTCTCTAAGGACATTTTTAGAATGATCCAAGTATGGTATTGATGCCTGTAGTCCCAGCTACTTGGGAGCCTGCGGAAGTATTGCCTGAGCTTAAGAGGTCGAGGCTAGAGAGAGTTATGACTGTGTCACACTGTGCTCCAGCCTGGGTGACAGAGCAAGACCCCATCTCTAAAAAAAAAGAAACTTCAAAAACAAGGTCCCACGTTTCCACCTATCAAATTGGCAAAGGTTTAGATGAGAAATACTATATCGTGTTGACAAGACTGTAAATTAGAATAATCTTTCTAGAAAGCAATTTATAGTAACCATCAAGAACACTAAAAATGTTCCCAGTTTTTGACTCGACTTCTACACTTCTGTGAACGTATCTTAGGAAAATTTAGAAATGCAAACAAAGCATTGTTTTTAAAAAGGTATTCACTGCAATGTTGTTGATGGGGGCAAAAAACCGGAAGGCGGCTATGTCCAGCCCAGCCGTAAACGACCCGCTGAGCAATTCTGAGACAGTCATGAGGAAATATAAAGCAAGAGTAAGTAACGCTTATGTCCGAACGAACCTTGAAAACAGCAAGCTATGTGAAAGACAACGGTCAGGAGAGACCACACGATTTATGATTCCATTTGTATGGAATGTCCAGAAGGGAGGTCCATGGAGACAGAAAGTAGAATAGTGGTTGCCAAGGGCTTGGGGGCACAGGGAGTGATGGCTAAAAGGCATGGGTGATGAAACTGTTCTGATCTTGACTATGGTGATGGCTGCAAATATCCGTGGAGATAAAGAAAACTATTCAATGGGCTGCGTGCGGTGGCTCACACCTGTAATCCCAGCACTTTGGGAAGCTAAGGCAGGTGGATTGCTTGAGTCCAGGAGTTCCAGACCAGCTCGGGTGACACAGTGAGACCCTGTCTCTACAAAAAATCCACAAGTTAGCCAGGTGTGGTGGTGCACACCTGTGGTCCCAGCTACTCGGGAGGCTGAGGAGGGAGGATCACTTGAGCCTGGAAGTGAGCTGTGATGATGCCACTGCACTCCAGCTGGGGCAACAGAGCGAGACCCCCTCCAAAAAAACAACAAAAAAGAAAACCGCTGAATTGTGCCCTTTAAACGGGCGAATTACAAACTACATCTCAATGAAGCTATTTGAAAAGTCCCCACAATACATGCGCCCCCACCCTCCGAAAAGAAATGCTTATGAGGAGTTTATAACAAGCTGGGAATCTGCTAAATAGGAAACACGAGTTGGGAAACACCGGGTGTTTGGGATACGGCATGGCACAGATGGTTTGAGATCAACTGTGATTACAAGGAAAGAAAAAATGAAAGAAAACTGGCCAGAAAGTGAGGCTAACCATGGCCGCACAGCGGCGATCTGGTTTTCTTCTTCGTACCTCTCCAGACGTTGCAAACTTCCTCCCGCCAATGAGAACGGGAGACAGAGCCCTCCGCAGAGGAGAACAGAGCTCTGTGCAGGGCCGGGCCCCTTCCCGTGGGGGCATCCGGCCCCCCTTGAGTCTTTGGCCGGGGAAATGAGACACAGTGACTGGGACTGGGATGGGTGTGGCCAACCCTGACCCCCGAGGTGGCGGAGCTACCCGGGGCTTTGAAAGAAGGCAGTCTGAGGCCAGGTCCAGCTCTGCGCCAGCTGCCTTTTTCTTGCAAGAAAAGCAACTCCGAGCTCACTGCTCCACTCCCCTCCGCATTCTGAATGCTCTTGGGTGCTGGGTACCCGGCTGCGGAAGCTGGAGAAGGGAGCCCTGGGGATCCAAGGGTGTACCCCATTCCACCCTCTCCAGACTAGCCTCTGCAGCAGCCAGCGGAGCTCTCTAAAACTCCAGTGCGCCAGGCATTCCCTGTGCCAAAGCCTTCCTCAGCGCCCTCCCTACAGCCTCATGCCCAGCCCTGCTCTATCCTCCCAGCCAAACCCCCAGAGGCCAGCTCCTGTGTCCTCCAGAGGGAGGGGCTCCCACGCTGGGCACAGCCCCTCTCCATTCCCGAGACCCTCGTCACCTGTCGCTTCCCCCACGGACCAAGGGCCAATCCAGGGACAGGGACTATCCACCTGCATGCCCAGCACTCGGCACTGAGCCAAGGAGGGGCTGAAGGGTGGTGGGAGGGGTCTGTGAATCCAGAGGGTGGGCTGCCAGGTGGGGGGCTCTGTGAACCTGCAGAGGGTGGGCTGCAGGGTCAGGGGGACAGACTGTGAATCCAGAGGGTGGGGTTTGGTCCTGGCTGCCCCATGGGATTTATCTTATTGAACAAAATGTAGCAAAGGGCATAATATGTCATCGTCACACAGGGACCACACCCACGTGACTACCTCCCAGACCGAGGAACACAAGGCCATCAACGCTCCAGAAGCCCCCCACCCCCACCGCCACATAACTGCTATCTGCGCTGCCTGCGGGGTGACCCCTGTACCTCCTGTGGGACAAGGTCCTGCTGGGGGCTTCTTTCCACCTTCCGTGCCTCTGCGTCCTCATCGAGACAGCAAAAGGCCGGGCAAAAACATCTCAAAGCCCTTCCTACCTCTTCCATGCTCGGAATTTGTCAAGTGGCACAGAAGAGAGCATCACAAGGCAGGCTTCCTGGAGAAGGTGGTGCCGGGCAGACCCTGGACAGCCGACGAAGGCGTCCAGTGGCTGAGCTGGGAGGAGGGAGGCCAAGCCTCAGCCAGACAGATTCTTGCACAAACACACACAAATCTCCCAGTCAACTCCCAGCGGTCAGTTAGGCCTTAGCTCAGAGAGGGCAGGGGCCCGGTCACCGTGCTCACCTCCAGCACGCGCCCCGTGATGTATTTCTCACAGCTGTCACAGCGGATGCCAAACTTGGCATGGTAGTCGGCTTCGCAGTAGGGCAGCCCGTCCCTGCAACGAGACAGGCAGTCAGCACAGGGCGGGGTCACCTGGGGACCTCCGAGTGCTTGACCCTTGAGATCTAACAACCCTCACCAACAAGAGGGTCTGCCCTCAGAGTGGGGGAACGCCCACCTGCTCAGATAACAATGCCTCCGGCAGGCAGTGCCACTGTGCGCTCCCAGGCACCAGCCCCACGGGAAATATGAGGACAATGGTCCCGTTTCGCAGAGGGAGAAACTGAGGAGCAGAGGCCAGCCCATCTGCCCAGCAGGTAGCAGGGGCTGACAGCTGCAGCTTCTGGGAAACGAGAGCTGCTTCTGCAGACCTGGCTCTTCTTTCTGGCTCCTTCCATCCAAAGTTCAACATCTGGGGTGCCTTAGAAAACTGGGAGCCAAAAAGGGGGGACAGCAAGGGTGCCCACTTTGGGGACAGGGCTGGAGGACGACAGAATGCCCAGGCGAGGGTGTAGTAGGTTAGGATGAGACATCACTGTCCCCCCTGCACCCCCGCCCTGCATCCCAGCCCCCAAATATGAGGGGTGACAAAGGCTGGCTCTGGCCACACATGGAGGGGCCCGGCCTTCTGTAGTGCCGGGAAGAGCAGGAAGGCTGCGCAGATGCGTCCGTCCCTCTCCCACGCACACACGCCATGTGCCTGTTATGTGCCAGGCACATAGGACTCAGGGAATTCCGGTCGAATGCCGTCATCCTGGGCCTGCCCCTCGAGCAGCGGCTGCCTCGGACCCCCCATAAATGAGCTGTACGGAAAAGCCGTCTGCAGGGTCATCCCTGGCACAGCTCCTGAGCTGATCTTCAAACCCATTATCATGATTATTATGAGATCAATACACCAGGGTGGATATCCGTGTAGATGTGGAAGGGCAGGTCGGCAGTGACCACACATGGTGTGGGGAGGTGCTGCTCCGCCGTGGTTAAGTGAACAGGCCACATCCCAGCTGAGTGACCCTGGGCAAGTCGCTTAACTTCTCTGAGCCTCAGCTTCCCCATTGCAAAATGGGGAAAATAATAGTAAGGACTAATGAAGAGAATGGCAGTCACTCTCCAGGGAAGGCGCTTGCCAAGGTGGCTGAAGCCACTGGCATTACTAACCAGGGCTGTCTTCCCCGCCCCGGACGCACCAGCAGGTGTGGGGGTGGCTGGCACAGAGTAGGGTGCCTGCCACTCCAGTGCACCCCCCTCCAGCAGCGCTGAAGTTGCTGTAGTGTTCCAAATTTGGTTTGAGTTTTGACACAGCTGTGATCGAAGGGAGAATTTCTCAGGCTGTCCTGGATGAGACCCCAGCTCCCTTCCTTCTCCCCCAGGCTCTGACTGTTGCTAGGTCCCCAGGAGGTGGGGTCATGAGTCCCAGGCCTGGGCGACCCTCTCTGGCTGCAGCCTGGGAGTGGCCCACAGCTCAGATGAGCCATAACTTGAGAGAGGGGCAGCCCTTCCTTCCACGTGAGAGGAAGACATAAAATGAGTCCTCAGGCTTACTTCCAAATGCCGCTGACCTCAGGACTCCCGTAATAACCCACAAACGGGTGTATTTGCAGCAGACGGGAGGTTAAAGATAACATCTCCATGGTAACACCAACGCCCTCCTTGTCAATTCTGGGACAGCTCTGGAGGCTGCTAAGTAACAAGCATGGTGTGGGTGAGCTGCCAATGCTTCGGGAGGGGCCTGCCAGCTGCACGGGGCTGGACATTTTTGTTTTATATTAAAGTGCTGTGTGCACCACGCTGGGCAGTCCCTGACTGACTGTGATGCAGGCGGGAAACTCGTGCACCTCACAGGCCCTCACCCTGGGGAAAAGCTCACCTTGGTTTGGAGGTTTTACTTAAAAGGCTGCATTGGAGATCATCGCAGATTTCCCAGCAGTTGTAAGAAACAATACTGAGAGATCCCATGGACCCTTCACCCAGTCTCCCCCAGTGGCGACGCGGAATCAGTACACGCCGTCAGCCAGGAAGTGATCACGGACAGCCTTCGGGCATCACTCAGGCTCCACGTCACACGCACGCGATGTGCACGCTTATGAGCATGTGTGCCTCGCTCCGTGCAGTCCCATCACAGGACGCTTTTCGCCTCCGTCAGTTCCTGGGATGACTGTGCTCCCATAGTGCTTTGAGAACAAGCACAGCATAGACAAAAGTGGCCAGAAGACCCCCCAGCTCCCAGGAAGGGGCCCTCTGCGCAGAGAAGCTCCCCTCTTCCCTCTTCCCCTCATCCACCTGCTTGCCCTGCCCCTGCACCATGCAGAACGCTTGCCTGTCTTGGGTCCCTGACCTCCGAGGGTTAAAACACACCCCTAGCTCCTGGCCCTGAGCTGCTTCCATTCAAGGCCATGATCTTCCCAGAAGGCTTCCCCAGTCCCCAAACCAGCCACCACCCCAGCCTGACCGCACATTTGTGGACAGGTTTGGTGCCGGTGGCAGCCACCCCAGGGGCCCCTGTGATCTGCAGAAGACAGAGTGCGTAGCTGTGGGGCCCCAGCCCCTCTCCTCGTGCCCGTGGTGGCCTCTGCTGACATTGCTTCACCTCCTGCAGGACATCCAGGTGCCAGAATGGGCAGCCGATCCCATGGGGATGGTGGAGGGGGGACTCAAGAGACGGGGCAGGAAGGCACTTTTAAACTCAGCCCTGGCAGCCTGCTTCTCACCCACAAAAAAGGAGCTGGATGCTGCAAATGCCATTACAGAAGCCAGGGCTGGCCGGGGAAGGGGGACTCAAGGCTGTCGGGACAAATTCGCTAGGCTCTGGGCCGCACTTCTTTTTTTTTTTTTTTTTTAATTTGGCCGCGCTTCTTACCCAGCGGCAGGACGCAGAGAGCGTGGCCGGGGGACAGGAGCAGAGTGAGGGACGGCGCAGAGCAGGGAAGCCCGAGCCAGGCGCTCACCGGAGCCTTCCCACACTTACTTGCTGATGTACTCGGCGTTCAGGAGCTTCCCACAGCTCTTGCACTTAAAGCAGCCCAAGTGCCAGTGCTTGTCCAAGGCTACCAGGGCCTGGCCGTTCCTGATTTCTGCGCCGCAGCCCCCACAACCTGGAAGAAAGAGAACAGAACACAGACACCCTCACTATTGTGAGAGATGTCGGGCAGGCCCCTGCTCTGCAGATTCCATGAAGGGCCCTGGGGCAGCTGGGAGGGGAGGGACAGACCACCGCCACATGGAGTACGTGCCAGGTTGAACCCAAGTATGACTCGATGTGCCCACCAAAGGGAAATGGGCCAGACGAGACAGGGCTGAGCCAGCTCCCAGCCCCCAACCCAGTCAGCCCACTGCACTTGGCCAGCCAAACCCACCTTCTCTCTTCCTGCCATCCCCACGGTGACTGGCACTCTCCACCCTGTGGCCACCAGTCTTGTGGGCCCCTGCCTGGCCTCCTGGTGCCCTCTCTGTCCCTCCCAGCCATGCCTGCTCTGCTTACTTGCCCCATGTTCCAGGCCTGGTCTTCCTGCTCAGGACCTCCAGGCTCTGGCCCTGCCCTGAGCAGTGGCCCACAGTCCCTCCACCTTATGGGCCGCCACACAGGGGTCCACAGCCAGTATCACGGGTGTGCCGGAGGCAGGGAGGGTGCCCCTGGCAGAGTGGGTGGAGCAGGCTAGGGGGCTAGGGAGAGCCTGGGACATGAGCCTGCACAGGGTGCGTGTGAGTGCGTATGCATCTGTGTGCATGGCATGTGACTGTAAGCATGTGGTTGCGTCTTGAGGGAAAGTGCGCATCTGTATGTCACCTGAGCCTTCCTGTCAACACGGGACGGCAGGGGTGCTGGTGGGAGGCGGAGTGGCAGAGATGCCCACAACAGCGTCCCCAGGAGAAGGGCCTCTCACAAGGTGACCACCTGGTGACAACAGCAACAGCAACTGGGACAGAGCTGGGCCCATGGAGTCAACCACCCGGCGTGCACTGATTGATGGATGACACGCGCGCTCACTCCAGGGACCTGCACCCGTTGTAGCTGAATGTGCGTCAGTGTGTGACTGGTGCATGGGCGTCTCTGTGTTTGTGTCTGCATGTGAGTGTGTGTCTGTGTGTTTGTGTTTGTGTCTGTGTGTGTTTAAGGGTATGGTTGTGTTGGGGGCATGACCAGGGCAGAGCCTCGAACCCGTGATGGACAGGCAGGGCAAGGATGACTGACAAACAGGGCCCTGCAGCCTGCAGGAGCCCCTGAGTAATTCACAGCCCAAGCAGGGACCCCTCGTGTCCCGACGCGCTGGGTACAAATCCTGGCCCTCACTACAGGCTGGGTCACACTGAGCATGTTCCTCCGGCGGGAGCCCCCATTTCCTCATCGTTGGGTGGGGAGATCACCTCCTCACTTGGTGCCTGCCCGGATCTGATGTTAATTTACACAGAAGACCTGGCCCCAAGCCCTGCATCCTGGGTGGACAGTGAGCACCGGTGAGGCCACACGTGGGCTTGCTGTGTGGTAAGAGCTCAGCAGAGGCCACTTTCCGGCATGGCTCCATGAGTTTCTCTGGCAGAGACCTGAGTCATATTATTTTTAACAATTAAAACAAACTAACACTCACAAAGCTGTTGGTCAAGCTCAGGATTTCCTAAGTGACCACACTGTGCATATTCACATGCGACTTTGGAAAACGGCCAGAGAGCAGATTCAAACTCCGAGGGAAGCGGGGCTTCTTACTCATCTCAGGACCCTGGGTGCCCAGCTCAGGCTGTGGGCTTGAGAGACACTCGGGGAATGAATGAATGGATGGATGGATGGATGGATGAATGAAAGCCAAAGTGAGAGGACACCTTCACCTGTCTCAAGTCCAGGAGGCGACCCTCCTCCATCAACCACCCGCTTCCCCATGCTGCTTCCCGTGTCTCTCGGAGGCAGAGAGCGCACAGTCCCGGCTTTGCCTCTCGGCTCCCACAACCGAGCAAGTGATGAGGCCACATTCTGCAAAGCTCTGCCTCAGTGGCTCTCAACTTGGGGCACTTTTGTCCAAGAGACACTTGGCAATGTCTGGTGCCCCTTTTGATTATCATAACTTGGAGGGGGTTCCAGCCATCTAATGGGTAGCGTCCTGTCAGGACAGCCACCTTCAGCAAAGGGCTCCCTGGGCTCGCATGTGAATGATGCCGGAGCTGAGGTCCCCGGCTCCGAGGCTTTGCTGGCTTCTCTGCACGTCAAGGTAGCACAGCACACAGGACCACGTGGCGGCCAGAGGATGGACGGCAGAGAGCAGTGGTCAGATCCCCACTCTGCCCCCCACAGGCTGTGACCTGGGAAAGCCACTTCACCTCTCTGTGCCCCTGGAGTGAGGGCACGTGTAATCCGTGGATAAAGGCACACACAGGTGACCGGTGCGGTGGGCCCGCCTCTGCGCTCACTGCCATGGCTGTTGCCAGGCGGCCCCCTCGCAGGAGGCCTGCTCCCTCTGGGATGCCATTGTGGGCATCCCCGACACTCTGCCTCCTACCGTATTGGCTGGTGCCCTCCCTTGCCGAGGAGCTTCCTTCGCCTTGAGCTCCAAGCTGCAGGGGGGAGTGAACCTCACACCTGCCTCGGCCCCCTCATTCTCCCATCAGCAGTACACACGGGAGATGAGAGCAAGGTGCAAAAGGAGTGTTGCCATGGAAACCGCATCCTCACGTTCTAAACACACCCGTGGCCCCACATCGCTTTGCGGGTCTGTACATGGCAGCTCAGAGCGCTGTGTGACACAGCCTGTGGACCAGAGCTGCCAGCAGCAGGACATCCCTAGCATGGCAGAAGGGGCCTCAGGACACCCCAACGTCAGCTGGCCACAGGCCCGTGCACCTTGGCTGGCACTGCCCGTCAGCAGCAATGGCATGACCCTCCTAGAACCATCCACTTTCCTATTTCCCCCAGAATGCTCCCTCTTCCACAAGTTGTGGTCTTGGTAGAGGTGGGGTGGGGCAGGACGTGCCAGGCAGCCTCCTGGAGCCTCAGCTGGGCGCTCAGGGGGTGTGGGTACAGGGGCCAGACCCCCACTGCAGCACCCCAGGTCTAACCAGGAGTCGGAGGAGTATGGGGGCGTCTCAGATTCTAAATTAAATCTGAGATTGGGTTTTGGAAACCAGGACTCTGACAGAGTTCCAAAACTTGAAAGTGATTGGAAATCCATGAACGTGCCTTGCAGTTTCATTTAGGAACCTGGACTGAGGAAGAAGAGCTGCTTGGAAAGATGAATCACACTCAAGTTCAGCCCCAATGCACTGCAGTCAGGACTAGACGGGGACACAGACCTGCCACGGGCCAGCTGAGGGGTGGGGGCTCCTGGGAGGATCCTGGGCTTACCACCTAGCCGCAGCCAGGGGTTCTCCTGTTTCCTACACAGCCAGGGAGGGGTGGGGGCTCTGGGGTTTACCCCCCAGCCTCACCCCAAGCTCCCCTGTTTCCCAGGCAGCCAGCAAGGTTGGGGGGGCACCCACCCTCTTAGCACCACCCTTGCAGGAGCAGAGAACGCAGGGGCTCCACGTGCCACAGCCCAGGTGGTGAAGCCCCATTGCTGGAAGAGTGGAGGACCCCAAAGCCCCATCCTTGGGCCCGGGACCCTGGGGCTGCCCACGCCTCTTTCTGTCCCTTTGTCCCCGACTCTGGTGGGGCCTCCCCAGGTCCAGAGGGTGGCCCTAAAGAGCCAGGGTCAGCCGGACCCAAGAAGTAGCCGCGGGGTCTTCTCTTCATGGATGGTGCCTGCTGTCCCTTTTTTCTGTGCCAAGCCCATCTTTCCCACACCCTGGCTGACCCGCACCCACATCGAAGGCCCAGAGAGGGGACACCTCTTGTGCCCAGCGCACAGTGGGGAGTGCAGTGCCCACCCAGCGTAGCCGGGCTCAGAGCTGCTGCTGGGTCGGCATGGCACTCACACTCTGGGAGGGCCATCCTGTGACAGGCTCGCAGCCAGCAGTGGGTCAGGCCTGGAGAGCTGGGGGCCTCACGGGAAGGGGCAGAGCTTCAGGGACACAGGGGAACCCCCCAACGGGCATGGTGGGGAAGCTGAGGCATGTGGGGTCTTGGTTGCCCACCCTAAAGCATTTCTCGTTCCTGAGTGGCCTGCTTGGGGCAGCAGAAGGAAGCTCAGGGCCGCGGGACTCAAGCTCGCGCTCTGCCTCACGAGCCAGCCACTCTCCCTCCCCAGGGAAGGACAATTGCACAGGCAGCCATGTGAGGCCCTGCCCTACTGCCCCCCCCGGCCCAGAAAGCTGGCCAGGCAGACGGTGCTGCTTCCTGAGATCTGGACTGACTTGGCTCTACCCCGCTCCACAACCATCTATGGCTCCTCATGGCCTCCAGATGTACCAAGCACACCAAGGCGTGGCTTTGGAGGAAGTCGCCACCTGGTTTTGGTGTCTTGGTGCCATTCCCGTTCCCCGCCCCCACGCTGCAGCCCTGCCCACTCACACGGGTCAGGTGGGTGCACCCAGCACATTTCACAGGCGTCAGTCTTTGCCTTCGCTTCTCACCCGTAGCATCTTCGCCCTTCCACAGCCACCTGCTGGAATTCAGCCTGTCTCTCCAGCCACCTCCTTGGATGGCAGTCAGGACTACACAGGGACCGCCATCTGGTCCTAGCTGGGCGAGCTCACTTGAGTTGAAAGGCCTCAGCCCACCCCTCAGCACTTCCGCTCCTGGATGGATGCTGGGCATCCAGAGCACCCACCCTGCCAGGTCCAGGGTGCTGCTGCACCTCAGAAGAGCTCCTCCAGGCACAGCTGCTCGGGGAATGTATGGAGGCTGCAGTGGAGGCCTGCAGACATGCACACAGGAGCCCCGACTGCTGCTTCATGCTTTTGAGGCACAGACCGGGAGGGGTCAGGTTACGTTACTAGCCGTCTAGGGGTCAGGGGAGCATTTGTTCTTTGAAAATGCAAATTTGATATTTCAACATAAACTTTACATTTGGAGAGGGCAGAACCTTTCTGCCAAGGGTACTGAAATCTTCAAAAAAAAAAAAAAAAATTCTCAAACAGTGATTCTGTGGTCCATCCCCTCCCCCACCTTTTTTTTCTGAGACAGTCTCACTCTGTCGCCCAGGCTGGAGTACAGTGGTGCAATCCCAGCTCACTGCAACCTCTGCCTCCCAAGTTTAAGCCATTCTCCAGCCTCAGTCTCCTGAGTAGCTGGATTACAGGTGGGCACTACCATACCCGGATGATTTTTGTATTTTTACTAGAGATGGGGTTTCACCATATTGGCCAGGCTGGTCTCGAACTTCTGGCCTCAAGTGATCCTCCTGCCTTGGCCTCCCAAAGTGCTGGGATTATAGGTGTGAATCGCCGAGCCCAGCCCATATTTCCTTTTTGAATTTGGCTCCCAGGAAGCTTTGGACAAACTTTTCAAAACTGATCTCCTTTCAAAATTTGCCATAGAGCTCTTGATGACGATCTGAATTTAATTGTAATAGGACTACTGTTTGTGATGCAAATTCTCAAAAATTCAATGAATCCAGGCCCCAGCTAGAGAGACATTTTTGAATGGAGGACTCTCCTAGCAAACCCCAAAGCAGCGCCCTCCCCTCTCCCCCGCTGCTGCTGTGAACTTGCCTCCCGAGGGATGCAGGCTTTGCCTCATTTCGCAGAGTCAAATTATAACCAGCCCACAGCCAACACTGCACTCCTGGGTGGCTGGAAGGGAATCGCCTCTGTGGAGGTCTCAGCACAGCAGGCGAGGTGGGGGGGAAGGAGGCGCTGGGCACAGGAGGCGAAATTAATTGCAGGCAGGAGGCTGACTCTGGAAATCAGTGGAAACCCCTCCTCTGTCTGGGGACACCCCAGTGACCACGGTGCTCAGAGCAGGATTCTGCAGCAGGTGCCTGGCAGCCGCTCCACTCCCAGGGCCTGTGTGCCATCTCATGCCCTGGCAGAGCTACCCCAGCTGGGAAGGGTGACCTGGCTGTCCCCTCCTTGCTGATACCTGGGCCCACACCTGCGAACCCCAGCTGGCATCTGAACTTCAGCTGGCATTTGTGTTTTCACACTAACAACCTCCTGCTTCCTAATTCGAGAAGCATCTGTTGAGTCCCCACTGCATACACACCTGGCCTGACTCACTCCTGGGAAGTGGAGCAGTGAACCCGAAGGACCCTGACCTCTGGAGCCCGGAGCTCAGTGCTTTTCTACGGGTTCCCCAAAAGGGGTCCCGAGTGGCCTGGAACTAACAAAGGGGAGCTGAGGGGAGTGAATGCTGAGGGAGAGGACCTGAAGGAGACCCAGAAGGCTTCCTGGAGGAGGTGGGCTAGAGCTGGGCAAAAGCAGCAGCGGCACATGGGGTGGAGGAAACAGCCAGTGCAAAGGCTTGGTGGCACGAGAGCCCCAGAAACTTCTGTCCCTGGCTCCCTCCTCAAATTTATCCATAACGGGTCACTGCAGCTGCTGCTCCTCTGGGTCCTCGTCTGTCAGGCCCTGTTCCTGGGCACTGCAGAGACCACGCCCCCAACTCAGACCCCCCTATCCAGCACACCCCGCACTCGGCACACACCCCTCAGTACTCCCAGCACCCCCCACTGAGCACCCCCAGTTCAGCATGCCCCACTCAGCACCCCCCACTCAGCACCCCTCACTCAGTACCCCCACTCAGCACCCTCCAACTCAGTACCCCCAGCACCCCCCACTCAGCAACCCACACTCAACACCCCCTCACTTAGCATGCCCATCCACCCAGCACCCACCCCACTCAGCACTCCCCCACACTCAGCACCCCCCACTCAGTGCCCACTTACTTCGGAGGCCCTGGGACAGGTGCGCAGTGCTGCCCACAGACACGGGCAGGGAGCACTTCTGGCACATGCATTCCTTCCCATTGAAGGTCACTCGGTCCCCGGGGGGGAAGGGCAGCCTGAAACAAGAGAGCTCATTACCAGCCAGGCCCACCTCCAGCTCCTCTCTGGGGGAGCCCTGCCCCAGAGCAGGCAACCAGGGCCAATGTCTCCCCAGGACCTCGCAGAGGTACCACCCACAGGCTGAGGACGCAGGGCCTCTCCACTCAGGCACTGCCGAGCCCTCACAACAGGACCTCAGGTGGTCACTGACATCTGAGCCTCAGTTTTCTCATCTCTACCAACAGGCAGAGTCATTGTGCCTAAGGCGGCGGTGAGGACCAGCCAAGGGCCAGCCCCGTGCTTGGCACACGGCAACGTGCCAGGCTTCCTGGACCCCCAGCCCCTCCAGCCCACCCTGCCTTCTCGGCCACATGGGAGGCCTTCTCCATGTCAGCTCAGCAGCAAGGGCAGCAGCCATGCTGACTGGGCATCTCCTGCGTGCCCGGGGCCGGCTATTGTGACAGGTGCCGTACAGGCATGCCTCATTAATAACCCACGTCACTCAACTTAGTGTTTGCTTCATGTTTTCTCTATAGGTGAGAAACTGGAGTTCAGAGAGGATATGTAATTTTTCCTAGGACAACGTCAGAACCAGAATCAAACCAAGACCTGACTGGCTTCAAAGTTCCACGATTTAACGGCTTGGGTCTCCTAAGAGGGCAGTGTCTTTCAAAGCACACCTCGTAGACAGGAAGACGCTATATAGTTGAATTCTGTCTTTATTTAAAATTCTGGCATTTTGCTCTAAATGAGTTGTTTGCATTTATTTCAGTTTTTAAAAATATTGCATTAAAACAGCATTCGCCTGACTACTGAGCTTTTTGGCACCATTTTAAAGTCTCCATCGCCTGGAGCAAGGATGGGTGAGGGACAGCAGAGCCGGACGGGTGAGGGACAGCAGAGCCGGCCCATCCCCCTGCAGCCCCGAGGATGTCTTTGGAGACTGAGGGGTGGCTCAGGTGGCTGCATCTAGCAAGCGAAGGCCAGGCCACCGGCAGACGGGCCAGAAGCACAGCCTGAAAATGCTGCCGTGTCTGCCCTCGACAGCTACTGCCACCAAGCTCCCAGCAGCTGCTTCCCTTCCCCAGCTGAGCCTGGCCAGAGAACCAGGAGCTTTAAAGGAAGAGGCCCGTGGAAGTGTCAGTCCACAGATGCTCTTAAAAGCCCCTTCCTGGCCAGGCACTGTGGCGCACACTTGTAATCCCAGCACTTTGGGAGGCTAAGGTGGGAGGATCACTTGAGGTCAGGAGTTTGAGACTAACCTGGCCAATGTGGTGAAACCCTGTCTCTACTAAAAACACAAACATGAGCCTGGCGGGGTCGCAGCTACTCAGGAGGGTGAGCCAGGAGAATCGCTTGAACCCGGGAGGCAGAGGTTGCAGTGAGCAGAGATTGCATCACTGCACTCCAGCCTGGGCGACAGTGAGATTTCATATCAAAAAAAAAAAAAAAAAAAAAAAAAGCCCTGCTCAAACACCTTTGTCTGGCTCCATCTGTCTTCTTCAGGGAAGGTACCATGAATTCATGGTTGAATGAATGAATGGGTGAATAAGTGAAGGACTGAAGCTCCCCTAGGAAGCCACACTTAGCCTGCTGTCTCCTGCTGAGACCCTGACTGGCCTCTCAACGGGGCCTCTCACCGGGGCCTTCTCCCTGAAGCTGAGACCACCATGCCTTGCCCTCCTGAAGGCCTGCCAGAGGCCCCACCTATGTGGCTGGCATCTAGTGCCTGCAGCAGGTATGATCCTGTGCTCCCACTGGGCCAGTGCCTGCTCCTGGGGACCCAGGACAAATACAGGCAAGCTAGGCCCAGGGCCCTCTCCTCCCATCCACTGCCCGGGAGCCTGTGCGGCTCTCCCACGCCCGTGTTGCCACCTGTGTGAGTGCTGTGGTCTGCTGTCCCCTGTGTCTCGGTGTCTTGCAGCCTCTCTGTCATGGGGATCTTGTGTGGGAGTCCCTCCCATCCCTGGATGTACTTGGAGCAAATCTCTGGCTGCGTAACCCAGAGCAAGTGACTCAACCTCTCGGAAATGCTTCTCCCCTATAAAACAGTACTGAGAACACCTGCGTTCCAGGGCTGTATTCACACATTCCTTCACCCACAGGACATCCTGCCTGCTGTGACCTATTGCCTGACCCGGGAGGGGCTGACTCGGGCAGCTATGCTTTTATTTCCTCAACTTTATCGAGGTGCACTGTGACAAATATGTACACCCATGTAACTGCCACCACCACAATCACGATGCAGAACATTCCGTCCACTGCAAAAAGCCCCTGTGCCTGTGTACAACCACGCTGTGCACTAACTGTGGCCCCAGGCACCGTGATCATCACTGTCACCATGGCCCCAGGCACTGACTGTCACCGTCACCATGGATTAGATTTGTCTTTGAGGAATCACAGAACACGCTGTCTGTGGTGTTGGATCCGTGTCCCAGGTTTGAGATTCACCCATGCTCCTGTCCCTACTGATCCTTTCTTTCTTTCAGGAATGAGTGTTCCACCCCACGGATAAACCACCGATGGGAATTCCATGCCACTGCTGGGGGCTTTTGGGCCATTTCCAGTGTGGGGCTGTTACAAATGAAGCTGTTAAGCACAGTTGCCAACAAGCCTCTCCGCAGACACATGCTTTCCTCTCTTTTGGGTGAATACATAAGACGGGTTTTCTGATCAGAGGCTAAGTGTGTATTTAACTTTATCAGAAATGGCCAGACTGGTTTCCACGGCAGCTGCGGGAACCACGCTGCATTCACCACGGCACCGGAGGGACGGTCCTCTGGCTTCACATCCTCGCCAGCACTGGCCAGGGTCCACTTGTTAGATGTAGTTGCTCCGATGGAGGTAAAATGTCATTTCTTTGTAGTTTTCATTTTCATACCCCTGTGACTAATGATGGTAAGCATTGTTTCATGTGTGGTGTTGGTCATCTGTACATATACATACATGTATATATGTATTTTTGATGGAGTCTTGCTTTGTTGTCCAGGCTGGAGTGAAGTCAAACGATCTGGGCTCACTGCAACCTCCACCTCCTGGATTCAAGTGATCCTCCGGCCTCAGCCTCCCGAGTAGCTGGGATTACAGGCATCCACTGCCACACCTGGCTGATTTTTGTATTTTTTAGTAGAGATGGGGTTTTGCCATGTTGGCCAGGCTGGTCTTGAACCCCTGACCCCAAGTGATCTGCCCGCCTCAGCCTCCCAAAGTGCTGGGATTATAGTTATGAGCCATTGTGCCCTGCCTCTTTTGTCCGTTTTTAACAGTAATTTTGGTCTTCTTCTTATTGAGTTGTAAATAATAAGCATTTTGCACAGCTGTGCCTCATCGGACACAGGCATCCTCCACCAGCTGATGGCTTGCTCTAGCTGTTTCTCGTTTTGCGTTTCCTTCAGCCCACAAAACTTCCTATAAGTTTATTTCAGTGCAGGTTGGCTGGCAACAAATTCTCTTAGCTTTGTGTGTCTACAAACGTCTTTGTATTGCCTTTGTTTCTCAGTAACGGTTTTGACATTTACTTTATTCACATACAATATAATGTGCAATGTGAAATGGCTTCTAGCATATTCAGACTTGTGCAACTATCGCTATAATCAATTTTAGAACCATCTTATCACTCACAAAAGAAGTCTCATACCCTTTAGCAGTCTTGCCTTCACTGTTGGAAGCTCTTTGTGCTTAGTATAGAATCATTTGATAGGTATTTTTCTTTCAGCATTTAAGAACTGTGGTTCTACTGTTTTCTAGCATACATAGTTTCTGATGAGAAGTCTAGAGTCGTACATTTGTTCCTCTGTAAATAATTTTCTTTCCTCTTGCAGCTTTTAAGATTTCTTTTTAGCTCTGGTTTTCAGCCATTTGATGATGATAGAGCTGGTAGATTTTGATGTGTTTATTCTGTCTGAAGTTCATTGAAATTCTTGGATCTGTGTGTTTACAGTTTGCACCCAGTCTGCACAATGTTCAGCTATGACTTCTTTAAACACTTTCTGGTCTTTCCCATCCACCTAGATAGAGAAATAGACCTAAACCCACCGATCACTGAGCTGCTTTTTGTGTTTTTCAGTCTTTTTTTTCCCTCTGCTTAAGTTCAAATTCTTCCTCTTGCTGTGCCTTCAAGTTTACTGACATTTTCTTCTGAAATACCCAATCTACTGCTAATTCCTTTTAGGAGATTTTCCTCTTCGGCCATTATATTTTTCATTTCTACAGGCACACCAGTAGTTTCTTTTTATATTTTCCATAACTCTATTTATGTTCACGTTTCCTTAAAATACTTATATTTACAGTAGCTATTTTAAAGTCATTACCTGCTCATTTCACCATTCCAGTCATTTCTGGGCCTATTGCTACTGACTTTTCTTCTGGCTTGGGGTCACATTTTCTAGTTTCCTTTTATTAGGTTGCTGCTTTTTACTATTAATTTTTTATTTTTATTTATTTATTTATTTTTTTTGAGACGGAGTCTTGCTTGGTCACTCAGGCTGGAGTGCAGAGGCCTGATGTTGGCTCACTGCAATATCTGCCTTCCAGGTTCAAGTAATTCTCCTGCCTCAGTCTCCCAAGTAGCTGGGACTACAGGCGTGTGCCACCACACCCAGCTAATTTTTGTATTTTTAGTAGAGATAGGGTTTCACCATGTTGGTCAGGCTAGTCTTGAACTCCTGACCTCAAGCAATTCACCCACCTCAGGCTCCTAAGGCGCTGGGATTACAGGTGAGAGCCACTGTGCTCAGCCCTTTACTATTACTTTTAATGACAAAATTCACAATTACTTTGGCAACAACCTAATACAACTAGTAATTTCTTTCTCTTTCCTGCCTTCCTTCTCTTTCTTTTCTTTCTTTCTTTTTCTTTCTTTTCTTTCTCTCTCTTTCTTTTTTTTTGAGACGGAGTTTCGCTCTTGTTACCCAGGCTGGAGTGCAATGGCGTGATCTCGGCTCAGCGCAACCTCCGCCTCCTGGGTTCAGGCAATTCTCCTGCCTCAGCCTCCTGAGTAGCTGGGATTACAGGCACGTGCCACCATGCCCAGCTAATTTTTTGTATTTTTAGTAGAGACGGGGTTTCACCATGTTGACCAGGATGGTCTCAATCTCTCAACCTCGTGATCCACCCGCCTCGGCCTCCCAAAGTGCTGGGATTACAGGCTTGAGCCACCGCGCCCGGCCCTCTTTCTTTCTTTTCATTCTCTCTCTCTTTCTTTCTTTTTTTTCAGGGTCTTGCTCTATTACCCAGGCCGGAGAACAGTGATGTAAACATAGCTCACTGCAGCCTCAAAATCCTGGGCTCAAGCAATCCTTTCAACTCAGCCTCTCAGGTACCTGAGACTACAGGCATGCACCACCATGCCAGGCTAATTTTTAAGTATTTTGTACAGACAGGGTCTTGCTATGTCATACAGGCTGATCTTGAACTCCCAGCCTCAAGTGATCTTCCCATCTTGGCCTCCCAAAGTGGATGGATTATAGACATGAGCTGCCATGCCCAGTCGTCACTAGCAATTTTTGATTGGCTATTTAACACTTATAAATTTTATATTGTTGTAGGCTGGATTTTTAAAAATCTTGTGAAAAGTGTTGGGCTTTGCTCTGGCAGGCATTTTATTTGCAGATCAGTATGACTTAAAAAAAATATCAATTTAAACAATAGATATGGGGTCTCTTTATGTTTCCCAAGCTGGTCCCCAATCCTGGTCTCAAGTGATCCTCCTACCTTGGCCTCCCAAGGTGCTGGATTATGGGTGTGAGCCTCCGTGCCCAGCCGGCATGATCTTTCTGAGGATCATGCGTACTTTGGTAGAGCAGGTTCACTGTAGCCCTCACTCCAGGGCTGTTCTGTCCTCTGGATAAGGCCTGTCTCTTTGGTGTCCACACTGCATGCCCTGGCATTCAACAAGGGATCTCTGCCCTGGACAGGACTCAGCTGTTTCCCAAATCCAGGAATTGTTTCGCTTGCAGCAACCTGGTCATTCTCTGCCCCACTGTGTGAAATTCCTCTACGATCACAGGGCTTCCTATGTGGTCAAAGACTCCCAGGCCCTGTGTAGATGGGCGCTCCTGCTCTACAGTGCCCCCATCCCTCTGGGCTTCTGCCCACCAAACTCCAGCTGAGCCTTCCTTTCTGGTCACTGTCTCCTGGCTCGGGACGATGCCACGGTCTCCTCGGGTCTCACCCCCAACGCCAGGCTATCCTTCCAGAACTGCCTCCAGGAAGGAAGCTGAGCAATCACAGGCCTCGCCTCCCTGTTTCCTCCTCTTAGTTCTGAGCTCCACGTTCTGGAAACGGTTGTTTCGTATGTTTTGTCCAGTTTCCTAGTTGTTGATGGTGGCCGGGCAAGTCCAGTCCCAGTGACTCCAACACGACCAGGGTTGTCTGTTATTATTTGTAAAATAATAGAGTAACCAGAGGCGATCTCACAGCAACTGTGAGATGGTAACCCCCATCTCTAAGCTACGTACACAAAAAGCAAGCAGGCAGATAATCCCTGGGAGAGGTCTGACCCAGGTCATGCCATGACGACACACTCCCTAGGGTATCTCCCTCCCTGGAAATACTCCTTGTCCTGGTCCCCTCTTGTCCTCCGCATCCTCTGACAAAGGTTCCATTTCTGTCTCGGGCACACGCTGTAACCACGGGGAGCTGCTTTGGAAACAACATTGAAAACGCCCCTGCAAGCTGGGTGTGGCGAGGCAGGGAGTGCAGGACAGAAAAGAACGCTGCTTTCCTGTTTTCATTCTTTGTTTTCTGGAAACAGAACATTTCCTGTGGGAGGAACGAGTCGGGGGCTGCGGAGGGAAGGGGGAGGCAGGGACCGCGTGGGAAGGCTGCCTGGGGGACCTCCCTGCCCAGCCCAGGACGCACGGGCCCGCTATGTCACACAGGCTGGTCTCGAACTGGCCTCGACCCCGTCTCCGCAGCCAGCCCTCGCTGCACGCGTGCTCGGTGCCAGGCAGCAGACCCAGAGAGGAGCGGCCCAGCCCGCCCCGGCGCAGCTCCCTGCGAGGAGGGGGCGGGTCACAGGAGGGGGCGGGAAGAAGAAAGGAAGGGAGGGCGGGAAGGAGGAGGGCCCGGAGGCGGGGACTCACCGGCACACGGCGCACACGAAGCAGTCGGGGTGGTAGGTCTTGCCCAGCGCCGACACCACCTCGCCCTCGATGAACTGGTCGCAGCTGAAGCAACGGGTGCCGTAGAGCCTCTGGTAGTCCCGCGTGCAGATGTACTCGCCCTGCCGCACGAAGAAGCCGCCCTCCGCCAGGTCGCAGCCGCACGCTGGGGAGGACGGGCGGGCGGCGTCAGCGGCAGAGGGGACCAGCTCCGTGTCCCCACCCAGGCCCCGGGTGGACCCGGTCCACGAGCACACCACCACCCGACACGGGCCGCGAGGCCTCGGCACACGCTCGGGGCAGCTTCGGCACACGCTCGGGGCAGCTTCGGCACACGCTCGGGGCAGCTTCGGCTCACGCTCGGGGCGACACACGCTCGGGGCAGCTTCGGCACACGCTCGGGGCAGCTCTCGGCACACGCTCGGGGCAGCTTCGGCACACGCTCGGGGCAGCTCTCGGCACACGCTCGGGGCAGCTCTCGGCACACGCTCGGGGCAGCTTCGGCACACGCTCGGGGCAGCTCTCGGCACACGATCGGGGCAGCTCTCGGCTCATGCTCGGGGCAGCTTCGGCTCACGCTCGGGGCAGCTCTCGGCACACGCTCGGGGCAGCTCTCGGCACACGCTCGGGGCAGCTTCGGCACACGCTCGGGGCGACACACGCTCGGGGCAGCTTCGGCACATGCTCGGGGCAGCCCTCGGCACACGCTCGGGGCAGCTTCGGCACACGCTCGGGGCAGCTCTCGGCTCACGCTCGGGGCAGCTTCGGCACACGCTCGGGGCAGCCCTCGGCTCACGCTCGGGGCGACAAACGCTCGGGGCAGCTCTCGACACACGCTCGGGGCAGCTCTCGGCACACAATCGGGGCAGCTCTCGGCTCACGCTCGGGGCAGCTGCGGCACACGCTCGGGGCAGCTTCAGCACACGATCGGGGCAGCCCTCGGCACACGCTCGGGGCGACACACGCTCGGGGCAGCTCTCGGCACACGCTCGGGGCAGCTTCGGCCCACGCTCGGGGCAGCCCTCGGCACACGCTCGGGGCAGCTTCGGCCCACGCTCGGGGCAGCCCTCGGCACACGCTCGGGGCAGCTTCGGCACACGCTCGGGGCAGCTTCGGCTCACGCTCGGGGCAGCTTCGGCTCACGCTCGGGGCAGCTTCGGCTCACGCTCGGGGCAGCTTCGGCTCACGCTCGGGGCAGCTTCGGCACACGCTCGGGGCAACTCTGGCACACGCTCGGGGCAGCTTCGGCACACGCTCGGGGCAACTCTGGCACACGCTCGGGGCAGCTTCGGCACACGCTCGGGGCAACTCTGGCACACGCTCGGGGCAGCTCGCTCTACTCTAGGGGGCCGGGCTCCTGGGACAGGCTCCATCCAGCTCTGGCCCTGGCCTGGCGTTGAGTGGACTTTCCTAACAGAAGCTGGGCAAAGGGCGCTGAGCGGGACAAGAACTGGGCTCCCCCGAGGGGCTGCCCAGCCTCCCACCCTCACTAGGGGGCCCCCAGCCTCCATGACCCCACCAGGGACGGCCCCTGGGCCCTTCCTGTCCTCAGTGGGCTGTTCCCAGCACTGGGCATCCAGATCAGGAAGGGGCTAACGCCTGGTCACCTACTGTGTGCTAGCCCCCGTGCTGGGGCGGAGGTCCCTGGGAGGACGGATCGTGTCCTTGCGGTCAGTCCCTCCAGTCCGCCCCGAGGCTTCCCGGGCCCTCCCCCACTCCTCTGTGTCTCCACGTCCCCATGTCTCCCCACAGCATGGACGACGTCTGGAATCCCGACCCTGCAGGAGGAGAGGGCCTGTGGATTCCTGAAAGGGAAGCTCTTCGTCTCTTTTCCCAAAGACACCTGCCCCAGGACGCTGAAGCCCGGAGCTCCGTGGAGGGGTGAGGGACCTCTGCCAGGTGGGGAAGGGAGCACTCCCGCTCAGCACCACCAGCTCAGAGGCCCCCAATCTGCGTCCTGAGACACGAGTGCATTCCTCCCGTAAGCTCCCCTCCAGTGCCAGGGCAACGTGGGAGCCACGCGTGGTTTCAGAGTGACCAGCCCACAGCCTCCCACAACCCGGCTGGCCCCAGGCCCTCCCTGCTGGAGTCACAGAAGAAGCCCCTGCCGCCCCAGCCCCACTGGCCTGGTCAGTGCTGGGTCCCGCCTGCTGGGTCAATGCAGCTCCCAGCCACCGAGGAGGGGCTTTGAGAAACCATGTTGCCCTCATCAATTTAAAGCTGACATCTAAAAGTTTTCATCACCATGTGAACTGCTTGCAAAGGATGCTGTTTCTGCATATTGTAAATATGGGTGCCTCTGACGTTTGGAGGGCATCCAGTGGGATATCGAGGCCAAAGCAAGACCCTCAATATCTGCCTAAAAAACCCTTGACGGTACTCTAGGGGCAAACCAGCTGGAAGCAGCAGTGTGGCTGGAAAGCTTTTATTCTGGGATTTAGTTGTCTCCGTTTCTCCAAAGAGAAGTTCGCTCTTCTGATATGGTGAGACCTAAACGGAGCAGCTTAGATTCCAGACGCCGGAGCTGCCCGGGTTCGAATCCCAGCTCCACCCACATAGTGTGCTGTGTGTCCCTGGACAAGCTCCTTAACCTCTCTGGGCCTTCTTGTACTCATCTAGGACACAGAACCTGTGTCAGAGGGGCACACGGCAGCACAGAGAGCATCCCGTGAGCCAGTGCGACGCGAGACCTGAGTCCTGCCTGGCCCAGCGTCGAGTCCCTGGCTGCTGCTGTAACGGCCGGAGATGCTGACTCTGTTTTGTCTCAATGTGCGAATGAAAACCCAGAATGAAACCCAGTCTGGGCGGTCTGGGAGGGAAGAGGGAAAGGTGTAAGATGCCTGCACTCACTCCTCCCAGGTGTTCTGGATCATTTATGAGAAACAGCCAAGGGCTCCCAGCATCAAAGGGAAGCTCCAGACAGGTGGGCCTCAGCCTCGGGCCAGGGCACCCGCGCTCTGCACGCACGTTCTGGCTCATGAAAACCCAGCATGAAATCCGGGCTGAGGGTGAAAACGCTTTGTCTGATCTTGCACCATAGGGTAGACCAAGCAAATGCATCCCGACTGTGGAGGGGCAGAGACTCTGGGGCAGGCGTCCCCAAACTTTTTACACAGGGGGCCAGTTCACTGTCCCTCAGACCGTTGGAGGGCCGCCACATGCTGTCCTCCTCTCATTGACCACCAATGAAAGAGGTGCCCCTTCCTGAAGTGCGGCGGGGGGCCGGATAAATGGCCTCAGGGGGCCGCATGCGTCCGCAGGCCTTAGTTTAGGGACACCTGCTCTGGGGCCTCACTTTGGAGAGCTCTAGCATTCTGATATCAACGCCGACTGCACCGAGGGAGCAGCTGGGCAGCGATCGGGCTCCTGGCACTGACGGCTCTCACCGCTCTGCATTTGTCTATTTCTCTATGCATACAGATGAGACGGCGTGGGCTGTGGCTTGAAGGAGAAACAGGGGCAGTGGCTCTGGCACCCCACTCCAGCGCCGTGAGGCCCCTCCCAGGAGCACCGGGCAAGTGAGCATGTCCAGCCCCAGCTGTTACCTGGGAAGTTGCTGGTCAGATTCTAGCTGTCCTGAGTATGCCAAGGTCACCGCAAGGTGGTTAGATCCCAGACCTCTGTCTGCTAAAAATAACACGTTCAAGTCCCCTGGTCATTTTAGAAATCCTTATGGACACAACACATTGTTCTTATATTGCATTTTGCAATTTATCAAATTAGCACAGACACTGGGGGGCGGCAGGGCAGGTGGGGGCATGGGAGCACCATCCTTCAGGCACACGCTGCGGTCATTTACGAGAAACAGGCAGGAGATGGTGGCAGGCAGGCGGGGAGAAATGTGAATCAGCACCACCTTCTGGAATACCATGTGGCACTGACGCGAAGGAATGTGAAACCTGTTGTCGCCCTTTGACCCAGCAGTCCCTCTCCTGGGATCCATATCAAGGCAATGACCATGACTGCCACAATTCCCTGCATTATGGGGACAATAAAATGCCATAGATGTCACCTATAGATGCCTGGGCTTTAGTGTCAGGCAGCCTGAGCTTGAGTCCTCGCTCCTACCATTTCCCAGCTGTGTGACCTTGGCATAGTTACTTGCCCTCTCTGAACCTCAGAGTCCTCATGTGTAGAATAGAGTTAGCAATACCAGTCTTGCGTGGTGGCTGTGAGAAGCCAATGGGGTGAGGTCTCAAAAGCCGATTAGCCCAGCGTCTGGCTGGAAATGATGTCAGCACCCACAAGCGCAGCAGTGACGACTGAGTTTACTGTGGGGCGTGCGCTTGAAGGAATTTGGGAGGTTATTGACGTGAATGTTGACGAATGTTGAAGTATAGTGAGGAAAGTGCCCACGTGCTAACTGAAGTGAACGAATCAGGCGTACGGCACCTTCAAAGTTTAAAGAGACTCAGACAAAGGGAAGACCAGGAGGAATATACGCCCAGATCCAAGCGGTACCATCCAGGGTGCTGTCCACCGCTGCTCTCTATTGCTCTACATTGGTGAGTGGAAGGAGACGCGGATTCACATCAAAACACACAGAAAACAGAGAACCCCGGGGCGCGTGAGTGAGCCTGAACCTGGGCGAGGGCTCCAGGGCCAGGCGGTCACCGCAGTGCCGAGTCTTGGCCCAGCCTGGCTCAGGGGCCCCTTCCGTGAACAACAGGGAGGATGTCATCGGAGATTCCTCCTGCGGGACTTTCACAACCTTGCCATGTGATCCCGACACTCCTGGCACCCTGAGAGTCTCAGGCTGTGCGGAACAAGGAGCGCCCTGAGCCGGGGCCGGGGCCCACCCATCTGAAGCTTCCCTTTGAGGCTGGAGGCCCATGGCTGTTTCTCATAAACGCCTGGAATGCTCCGGAAGTGCATGTGCAGGCATCTCACACCACTCCTTCATTCCTCCCAGCCTGCCTAGAACAGGTGGCTACTTATAGTCCCAGATGGAAGTGTCCGCAAGGACAATGCCACCCGCCTTACCCGCGCAGCTCACGGCTCTCCTCCCGGATACGCGTCCTTCCCTCCCTGCCTATATTCTTGGCTCCTGCTAAGATTGTGGACTTGCTCAGTCCTGCTTCCAACAGGACCAGAAGATGCCTGCCTTCCCGAGGGTACATGTGGGTATGGCTTCGTCTTTTCACTGCTGCCGTGTCCCTGGGCATT